TTCCTGCACTGCTTTTCGTTCGCGTCGGCGGGCGGTAAAATTGATTTCGTGCCCGTTTATTCGACTGATTCGAGCTGCCGTGACAAAGAGCTGCTAGTTTGCCAGTGGTCCGCTATTTCGGGTTCTGTGCTGCTGAAACACTGTCTCCTAATTTGGGCCTTGCACTAGCGGGTTCTGAGTGAAAGAGAAAGAGAGACCCGAGAGCAGCCAGCCAGAATACAGCAAAAGTGCGTTACTAACTTTAGATCGCCATCGAATTTGTGCATTAATTATAGTGTGCGGCGGTGAAGCAGCCTCGAAAGAGCTGCACCAGCAACGGCAGCAGCAACGGCGCCCAAATGACATGCCGTATTGTGGGATGACATTTGCAGACAATTGGCGAGTGCGCCATGCACTGCTACTAGTCCCCATTCTCCGGCACACAATTACCATCTAATTCGAATAGGAGATTTTGTGGGTGCTGGTACTTTGCCTGCTGCACGGGGACTCGGCAGTCGTTCCTGCTGCTGCTGCCGATGCTGCCTCTGCAAAATTGGTGGTCGTTGATAGCAGTAAAGTCGATGATTCCAGTAAAGTTCAAATCGCTTCCATCTAATGACTGCCTTGCACTTGAATTCTATTATCCACCATTGGCTGAGCGGTCGTTCAAGTTTTAGTAATGAGCATCCGAGAGAGGGTAGCAAGTTGGTGCCCATTCGGCATCGATCATTAGCCAGCCAAGTACTGCCAGAGTTCGGCCATCCAGCCGAGCAGCAGTCAAAAGACAGTCCAATCGGGCCAATTGATGCTCTTCCTTGCTGATAATGAGTGTGTCGAGGAAGTGCTTGTACGATGACGGTCGATTCGGCTGCCCTTCTTCTAAGCTGAAAATAGATGAGAAAAGAGATTTTGTGTGCACTGTTTGCTCTTCGTTTATATGCCTATTTGTGGACGCACTCAATTTAACATTTCTGGCAGTCTTTAGTTCTTAGGTGTGAATGAGTGAATGAGTGAATGAGTGAATGAGTGAATGAATGAATGAACGATGAAAGACGGTGATGAGAAAATCGAAAGCAATGCACCGATCGCGTGTTGATGATGGTCAATTCGCGGCACACAATTGGCACCTTTCCGGAGCAATCCACAGTGGCGACGGTAGCGAGTGCTGCTTCTGATGTTATTGTTGTTGTTGTTTGTGTGTGTTTTCCACTTGACGACGGTATTGTCCTTCTGCCACTGTGTCCCGCAGTACTCACACGTAAACACACTCACTTTAAATGGACAATTTTAATTAATGTCCTCAATTAGGACAGTTTGTTCTGGAAGAGTAGTGTTTCTCTAAAGCAAAGTCTCTCCAATAGAGCAATTTGGTGGCCAGCAGCAGCAGAAAGCAGCCAACCTAATGTCATTATCATGGACGTCGTTTTGCTCGTCGCAACAAGCTCGATTGTGTGTCGTCGGCGGCAGACCCAAGCACCTTTGCTACCCTGCCACTTTTCGCTGTACCTCACACACCGACAGACTGACAGTACTCTTCTTTCTAGTTCTAGGTAATACATATTTAATACCATTGCGTGACACAGCTTAATTGGCAGCACAACACACACACACACGCCGGCAACACCATTCTGTTTTCTTTGATTCACCTTTTCGCCATTCTCATTTAGCGGCACTGTCTCTGGCTCATTGTGGGCACCAGCGGTATTTACAAATGTTTACAACACATTCTGCGGGGAGGCAGGCAGCCTTTTGAAGCAGCAGATTTGCACCAATTTCGACTCTTCTGCTGTCGCGCAATGCTAACGCTCCACCGGCCATCGACGGCTCAATTAATGGTGGACAGTGCCTTCTTTGATGGCTCGCTGATTTGCTCCTCTTTTCTACTAAACCGCCTAAACACATTTTTGGCAGTTTTGAATGGCGCCAATCGGTAAAGACCAAGCTAATTAGTGGATGGTGTGCGGCAGGTTGTGATGGTTAGCGCAGTGGGGTCTAAGCCCATATGAAAACACACACTCACTGACAGACATGACTGCAGAGTGACGACCATGGCGGCAGCGCTTTAGTTCAGTCGATTTGTTTTTTCTACAAAACACACACACACTGATTGAGCTCTTTTGCATAGAGGATTGTGGTGGTGTCTCAGCGGTGGTGAACCAAAAGCCGCAAAGGAGAAGAAGTGATGACGCGACGGGAGGATGACTGCTAAGAAGTGAACTGTTTAACTGCTGCTTCTGCCTCTGAAGTCCCTTTGTGCTCTTTTGAGACAGTTGAATTTAAGACAGTTGTAGTGTTCGGGCAGATTTAAAGTAGAAGAGTTAAAGTTGGAAAAGTCAGTGAAGAAAGTCAATTAACTGCCACTAAGTCGCCGCCAGCTGAGCCACGAGAGAGCGGACAGGCACAGGGGCCCGCATAGGTGAGTGAGGAAAGTGCGGCATCATTACCTGCTCAAAGGGGTACAGCACAGCGGACAGCAGCAGGAGAAAACGAGAGCAGTGAAAGTGTGTGTGTACACGTCTGTCTGTCTGTGTTTGCTTTGCCACCATGAGAAGGCAGCAACCATTCCTCCTCTCTCTCTCTCTCTCTCTCTCTCTCTCTGTTCAGGCCTCTGCTAATGGTGAAACAAAAGGCACTCGTAATGAATCTTTTGTTTGGCCAGACCGAGGGGTGTCTGTCTGACGGACTTTCTCTCTCTCTCTCTCTCTCTCTCTCCCTGTGTGCGGTTCCATTCGTTCCGTGTGCTGAGCAGTCCCGACACAAGTGCCAACTCGATGATTACCACTCGGTTGTGGCTGTCCCACGGTGGGAGCCCACAGAGCTCACTGATTCACCGTAGAGAAGGTCTCACTGTAGAGCACAGTTTGCAGTTTCTGCCCCGTGCCTTCGGTAGAAAAAGTAGCAGTGCACTACTTCTACTGCTACATTTGGCACTGCACTTTTTAAAGCTTGAAGTCACTTTAGTTGCGCCATTGGAAGCCATCAAAATGGCTTCAATTCTGCAGTTGTCTGTCTCCCTTGAGCTGTCGTTATGTGAAAGAGTTGAAAAAAACTGACAACAACAAAAACAGCAGCAGCAGTAAAAGACGATTGAAGAGAGCGACTTAGCAAAGCTGCAAGCGAAGCTAATCGAGTTACGTCGTTGGCTTAGTCGTCATAAATTAAATATCTCCCTCGCTCGCTCGTATGTCCAAGACAGCAGTGAACGACTGGCTG